CCACAAGATCCAGTTTCCTTTGGGACCGAACCAACAGAATCCCGAGAGTTTCCAAACAGCACCGAACGGGCCAGAGAGAGACAAGTCTAATTGATCACCCTGTCACCGCTCTTTATCGTTAACGGCTTCGTGTCACAGTAACAAATTAGATTGTTGCCGGATGAGACCAATTAATTGTGATGTTAGAAGGCCTTGCCAAGTTCCCTGTGCCAGATGCAATTGCAAACACCAGTGATTTCTCGGTTTTGCTGGAGCACTCTATCAAAACGCCATTCTCCATTCTGCATCTTTCATGGTTTGTAAATGCCTCTCAGACAGAATGGGAAAGTGTTTTCTTGCATTCATATCCTCACCTTTTTCTCTCCTGTGAGAAAGAGTTTCCGTAGGACATACTTCAGCACAGCTGTGTATTTCATTGAAACTAAATAGCAAATTCAAGATGGATTTGTGTGAAGATCAAGGCTGGACCTGACAGTTTAAAAGATGAGGAGCACTTGAAAAATCTGAATAGCGAAGAACTGTAACACCTAAAATGGCATCCAGAAATGGAAGAACCAACTGTGCTGACTACAGGTAACTACAACTTTAAAACTAGTCATCTAATAGCTTTGGCCTTGTTTACAACTGGTGTTAAGATGCATATTTATTAATCTGATCATTAGCATATGACAGTTAGAAAAAGGTATCTTCGGCCCAATCATAATTCTAGCCCTTTATTCATTTCCCTTATCTTCCCTTTGTTTTGCATGTTCACGTGAAGGGGTAGGGGTGTCCCAATTTTCTTTAGCCTGAAGGCGTAGGGCTACGGGCCACTCTGCAGATCTCTTGCATGCTCCATACTGAATGTAACCCCAAACCATGGTTTTTCCTTCACCAAAATTGTGAGGATCTTGGGTCCATGTGGGTTCCAGTAGGTCTTCTGCAGGATTTGTGATGATTGGGATGCAGATCAACAGATGATTCATCAGAAAAAAATCTACCTTCTGCCACTTTTCCAAATGATCATCTAGAAATCAAGTTTTTGGGCCTACTCACACTATGCTATCCAAACCATGCCCAGGCCCGTTTCCCGGATCGTTTGAGAAGTGGGAGTGCCCTGAATCGGGCTCAGGCTCAGCGCGGTTCAATTGGGCTCAAAACACGCTAAATCGGTTCACTTGGGCCCAAAATGCGCCAAAGCCTGAAACTGAAAGCGAGGCGTGACTTTTAAGGAACAGTTTCATATGGATTTATTAATCATTCTTACTGTTCAATGAATGCAAATTGTCGTAGGTTATTAAAGACTCAAACCCCTCACTAGACACGAAAGCTGCGCACCTTCAGCAAACCTCCTAATTCCTGCAGCACGAGGGCTTTATGATTGTTTGAGCGTCAAAAGTGGCTGATCTGTTCAGCGAAATATTTGACTGCATGTCACTGCATGTGAAACGACATGACTAAAGAAATCACCACTGTGCTGAGCGAGAGCACTTCTGAACAGCGCATCATCGATGACGTAAGCGTGCCTAAACCCAAATGTAATGTGGGTGCGGGCCGTTGGGGGAGACAGGAGGTTGGACAAGCGTGCTTTGGCCCAGTTCAAGGCAACTGTACATAGTGTTAGTACGCCCTAACACTTTGTTACTCTTACAACTGGGATCGACGATAAGACTTTTGTCAGGTATTGTAAATGGTGCCAAAGAAAATTTCACTCCATGAAATCCAATTCTGATTTTCAAAGGCTTAATTTGTGAGGTTAGGAAACTTTCTCATTCAATTTCTCCTTCTCTAACAGATATCATTTCCCAGTGGATTAATTAAAGACCTAAATGACCTTTAACTGCATGTGTGTTTAAAGACACTGCTATCAGCATGTCATTCTGAGATCTGCATATCATTACTTCACAAAGATACAAATTAATATGCCATGTGTGGCAACAAACACAACTTAGGCACAGTGGATCCTGCAGGTAATTGCTAAGTTACCCACAGTATGAGAAAGCTGCATGGTATCACAGGTGCTAATACTTGTTTTTCCCAGCGCTCGTACCTTTGATGTAGTCCCGGATTGAGGAGTGTCATCATCTATTAATGTACTCGTAATATGTGGCCTGCGAAATGTCATGTTAGTGCTTCGGTTGTGTTTACTTGTGATTGAGCTCCAAGAGACATCTTTTGTTATGTAAATCAATCCCACAGCATGATACCCTGCCACAGATTCAAGGTTATTACAACACACGTTCATCCTGTCGCTGTGCTGTTTCATTCTGGTTAAAAGAGCATCATGAATCTCCAAGGCTGCGTTAGAGGAAGATGATGAAATATACAAGGGAAAGAGACTTTAACCATCAAAATAATAATAATAAAAAATGATTGATTGCATGCTTGGATGCTTCAGATTAGCACTTACTTGGGTGTCCTTGAAATGAAAGAGCTCGCAAAGTTACTTCTGTCATTTAGAGATCTGCTTGCGTGACCAGCATACATCCGGCCTCGTTCTGGAAATCCTTCACACGCTCACATTTTGCAGCTAAATGGGTTGTTCCTGCACTAAAGACTGCAAGCAACAATCCCAGTTAAATTATTATGGCAATTAAGCTATTGAAGCAATTTTGCGGCACATCTTAAAACTCAATTTATTGTACAGCTGAAATGGCAGAATTGAAAACACAACGTTATCAGGTTGATGCATTTTGGCTTGAAAATTAGATTAGGCTCCGAACAAGTGAAACTATTTGAATGCTTCGATTTTTAGTTGAGAACAAGTCTAGCAGCAATTTGTTTCTGTAGCTCCGAGAACAGAGACCTAATGCTGTTAACTGCAGACCAATTGATTCCATTGAGTTATGCTGAGAAAATGTATTGGCTCAAGCCAAATTCGCACAATAATGGAAAGTGATGAAAAGTCATTTCTATGCAAATGGTGTTGACAAATGCATTCTATATTTCCTGCTTATTGTGAAGATCTAAATTGCTTTGCCTCACTCTTATTGAATTGAGACTTAAATTATCGTTTAATCTAGTTGCGCTGTGATCTATTTTCATGGGGCACTGCTTTAATTGGTTGTTATTGCGTTCTGCCTGCTTCTACAGCGTGCACCAGCATTGAAAGGATATTTCTCCATCAATAAACAGCTTTCCTTTTCCACCTCCCCCACCCATGAAAGCCATTAAATAGTCCAGTCCATGCTTTCCTGCGTAGCGTCATCAGCATGAAGGAAGATGGGAGGATTACCAGATTAGATTGACTGCAAAAAATGCACACCAGCACCATTTCCCATGTTGAAGTGTGAGTTCTGAACACCATAAATCCTCCTTATTCCATTGCGCCTCATTTCCTCACTTCTCACAAATTGGGAAAAAACCCACTTGCTCCATGTAATAGAACAGTTCACTTCGGATCAATTCCATTACATTCGAGACCTAAAGCTCACTTCTTGAGTAAACAGGCCATTGTGCCGCTTCGCTTTCATTCTAGATGCAAAGAGATGCACAATAGCAACTGTTACCTGTCAGATTTCAGTCATTTGCAACAAAAGGATGCCCACAATGAGATGGCGTCGCTGACAGTTGCTTCTATTTTCTGTGATTGACATTGTCTGGGCTGACAGGGGGTGCCATGTCGAGGATGGGAGGACAAGGCTGGATGTCACAATCCATTGCTGTCATCGCACTGTGAATGGAGACACGAGGCAGTCAAATAGACATGCCAGTGCTGAAATGAACATCATAAAAGCCTGCAGGCAACGTGTCAGCCATTTTGATTACAATGTAGACTGTTAACTGTAATAAGTTGCTGTGTTGTTTTTTACCTTGATGTTTGTCATGCATCAATGTTTTGTTTATGACATCAGGTGATCCGCTAAACCTGCAGATGGGAATATGCCTGAAGCAAATCGACATCAACAGATTGAGTTCTCAGTCAATCATCTTGTTATTGTGAAAAAAAATGACTTCATATGGAAGCTGACAATTAATTGCCGTAAACAGTACTAAATTGATTCTATGTTGATTAATGGATTGTTTTTTGTGTAGGTAAAACTGATAGCAAAGGAAATTTGGCACGTTTACTGCACATTACAAATGGTCAAAACTATGATATAAAGGCTGATTTATTTAGAGGAAGAGTTTAGCCAAAATCGAAAAAAATCAGTGTATTTACTCGCACCTAGACCTTTCAAGGTGTAGACTTTTTCCACTTCAGTATAGCATAAAAATATGATTTTTAAATTAAAATGTGGTCCTTGGTGATTTATAAAATGCAAGTAGACAGGTAGTATATTGAGAGCTAAAAAATGCAAAACAAATTTACCCTTGGCTCTTGGCAATGCATTGAACAATCAGTGTGTGCAAAAAACTGAACATTATTTACAATATTGTTACCTTTAATCCACAGTCTTGGGACTGAGCGTTCCCAATACTGTTTGCCAAGGCTGTGGATTAAAGTTAATGTAGTAAATAATGTTCAGCGTCCTGCACAGACTAATGGTGTTGCTTCAACAAAGCTCAATATATCATCAGAAGCCACAGGTATGTTTTTATATTTTCCTGTATATATTTTTTGATTCCTAAAATGCCAAAAGAGATTGGATTGGATACTGTTGCAGATAAAAAATGTCCTGTAAAAAAGGAAATTTAACTCTTGGATGGCCACAGAGAAAAATTGACACCATTTTTATTCACTTTTTCTATGAAGACTATATTGAATATCTAAATAAATATCAATAAAACACGGTAATAATAAATCAAATTTTGTCTTGAAATTTTTCATTTAATTTAATATTTTTAATTTAAAATCAATTAAATTAGAATAAGAGACTGAGGAAATTTTGATTACAGTAAATTCAAGAACAAAATTAAAACCATAATTTTAAGCATTGGGTTAAATTTCAACTAAACATCCAACAGCCAAATATTTGAATATTATATGAGAATATAAGACTCTCGTCGAAAAGGCAGAATACAATGCGTGTGATTCATCTCTCGCTCTCTGGTGCGCAGGTGGGGAGGGGGAAATCTCAGTTTGAAGTCTCAGTCTTCCTCATTTCAGCGGACTACAGCAGTGTCTGTCGGACCATCAGCGCAGCCTCATCATTCGGCGCAGTTTTGAGCAGGCTAATCATCGCACCTAGATGACTTTATTGCACTCCAAGCCATGCACGTGACCAAAACAATGACCTGTTGTTATTTTTGGCACTGTTCTCTGCGCTAAACGACTGAGGACTCCCTGTATAGGGAGCATCATCTCAGGGCACGGACTCTCCGGCGGAGCGCAGGACGGGATGGGATCGCAACTGCGCGTTTAGGAACGGGAATGGGAAGTTTAAACGACCGTGGACTGTGGATGCTGTCTAAAAACCACCCGAGGATCGGCTTTAAGGGAAGTTTAAAAAGTAACAATCTGCAATAATCCGTTAATCACCTCTGAAGGAACTGCTCGGTTTGTGCTTCAAATTAAGCAGCTCTGGTTCTTCGGGCACAATGAAATCCATCTTCTACACTCGCTTTTTCATCCTTCTTCCGTGGATCTTGATAGTGATCATCGTGATCGACATCGATACGAAGAGATTATCAGTTCGGAACACGGCCAGCTTTTATTTATCTCGGTTGGGGAATGTACAGCAGCGGCAGGTCGTCAGAACGACTCGGACCAGCAGCAGCAGCACCACCGCCAGCAGCAGCGGGAGAAACGCCACATCTCTCCCGGTCATTTATGCCATCACTCCCACTTACAGCCGAGCGGTGCAGAAAGCAGAGCTCACCCGCTTGGCAAATACGTTCCGCCAGGTCCCACAGTTCCATTGGATCGTGGTGGAGGACGCGAACTCCCACACGGAATTGGTGTCGCGGTTTCTCGCCCGGTGCGGGGTGCGATACACTCACCTGAACGTGTTCACCCCGCGCAGGTTCAAGCGGACCGGGATGCCCCGAGCGACCGAGCAGAGGAACTTAGCGCTCGGCTGGATCAGAGGACACCGGGGCTCCAAAGATAAAGGAGTAGTTTTCTTCGCGGATGATGATAACACTTACAGCCTTGAGTTATTTGAAGAGGTAAGTACGACTCCTTGAGATTATTAGTTGTTTAAGAACAAGGCTGTCAATAGTTTAGATTTGATTAGAAAAAAAAATCACAATAAAAGTGTTACATTTCTAACAGTCTGCTGAAAAACTAAAAGGAAACCATCACAAAAGTTGTGATTTCACTACAAATACCAATTACAAACCACAACCGTAAATATTAAAATCAGTGCCTTTAAAATGTTAATGTAGTAGACTAAAGGTGTAGTTGATTTGGGATAGGTTTTACTCCAATAACCTTGTAAAATCAGGGTCATTTGGTGTAAAGATTGGAACATATTCGATTAGTATGTAAAGATTTTAAAATGCCATCAAGAAGGCAACAATTTACCAGTAGAAATCCACTGGGAGCATTACAGTTCCCATTGAAACCAATATAATTATAACCAATAAAACCACAAAAAAATGTAGTGGTTTCTTTAGCTTTTTTTCAGCAGGGGTGGCAATGAATAGCTCAACTAAACAGAAATAAGAAGCCTAGTCTAAGTTGGAACTAGTTTGTTTATGGTATAGGGTGTTATATGGTCTGCTTGTTGGCCTGGATCAAAATCCATGTGATTCACTGAAAAAAGATTGGCTGGGGCACTATTGTTCTTTTTCACATGTCACAAAATAATATATATATATATATATATATATATATATATATATATATATATATATATATATAGACAACTACAGCATTAATAAGCACAAATAATAAACAAGAAGTGTGGAAATACACGCTTTACAAATAAACAACTTGGTGTCCTTACACTCTAAAAACAATAAAATAGAAACAAAGTGGAGCCACAATGGAGTCATTTTAAACTGTTTACTCTCGTTATGCAGGCACAAGCAAATATTGCACTCCAAAGGTTGTTGCAATACATTTAAATCTATGCAGCTGGAATAAAAACGTTGGCAATTACTAAAAGGCTGGCAACGCCTCAGTCAAGCTCACTGAATTGTCCCCATAGACATTCATGTGGTGTGTTTTATCATGCCTTCGCCATCTATATCTTATGAGTCTCTGAACATGCACATAAATGAAGGCGACCCAGTATACTGTGTAGCCAAGCAGAGTGAATTAACCCAGTTTAAGGCAGTGGAAGTCACAGAGAAACGACAGAGTGACCTGACAGCTGGGAAATTAGGGTTTGTCTGTCTAAACGGTTGTCTGTGTACAACAGATGAAACAGATAACACTGCAAAGTGATGAGAGATACTTCATTTGACACTTTTGTCTTACAGAGGATCACAATTTTTTCTTTCATTGATAAATTTGCACATTTCTTTAGATACATTTTTGATAATTTCAGTCGTATGCTGCGATTATTTTAGTAAACAGTGTTTCATCTATCTGAAAGTTTCTCTGGAACAAAAAAAAGAGGTGTTGGTCTTTGTTGGTCTTCGTTTGTATAAGAAATATAATGACTATTGTGATGTTAATATATTCAGTCAGGAGTAAATATTTTTTAATGAAACACTGTAAAATTATCCATTAATGTTCCATGTTTTGTGATTTATATTTTCTATTTACTTATACTTGTCCACAGTTTCAATTTACTAGAACTACCATGTTAAGCTGCTTTAACACATTCTACATTGTAAAAGTGCTATAGAAATAAAGATTAATTGAATTGAATTGTAAATCACATTATGGGACCTTGATCTGTCGACGTTGGTGTTGAAAATGTAACCTTACAGTTTAACAAAGTGCTTTTTATACACATTTTTATTGAAACAACATTAAACATAGGGCTGGGCGATTTGGCATAAAATTAAAATCTCTATAAATTGAATAAGTAAATTCTTTTGACTGGTGCGCAGGTATGCGTAGTCTGCGCCAAACTATACACATGCCCATGGCAGAAGTATAATATCAATATAAGTTAAAATCATAATATAATAAGTGTAATTCAGCCTTAACAGAGCGGGGTCATGTGACTCCACACACGGTAGAGAAAGTAATTGAAAAAATCGACCTGGAAAAATTTTATCGATTATAGGTTCTGAATGTCTATTAATGACTTTTCAATGAATTAACTTGATTATGATTCATTCATTCATTTTCTTTTCGGCTTAGTCCCTTTATTAATCTGGGGACTTCACAGTGGAATGAACTGCCAACTTATCCAGCAAATGTTTTTACGCAGCGGATGCCCTTCCAGCTGCAACCCATCCCTGGGAAACATCCAGACACACTCATTCACTATAGACAATTTAGCCTACGCAGAGAGAACATGCAAACTCCACACAGAAACGGCAACTGACCCAGCTGAGGCTCGAACCAGCGAGCTTCTTGCTGTGAGGCGACAGCACTACATACAGTATTGCGCCACTGCATCGCCCGATTACGATTCATGAACGATTATTTTATTGATTTTTTTTAATGTTTTTGCCCTCATACTTTACTGACAAGTTTTGTACAGTAAATATGCTCACATATTACAAGTAAGATATTTTTGAATGTGGGTGCATTACTTGATTTTAAATAATTGAAGTAAACACACACACTATCTACTATCTATGATTATTAATTGAACATCAACGCTGAACAACTGAAATTAAAACACATTGCCTTAAATGTGTACCTCTGCGCTGCCCACTGTCATCACCGCTACAAAACCCACCAATCACAAAGCTTGCGCTACTTGTTATTGTAGACGAGTAAGTAAATTCTTTTGACTAGTGTGCAGGTATGCAAAGGCTGCTCCAGACTATACACATACCCATGGCAGAAGTATAATATCAAAATAATTATAAATCATAATATAATAAGTGTAATTCAGCCCTAACAGAGCGGGGCCATGTGACTCCACACACAGTAGGGAAAGTAATTGAAAAAATTGACCTGGAACAATTTGATCGATTATTGGTTCTGAATGTCGATTAAGGACTTTCAATTAATCGCCCAGCCCTGATAAAACATAGATTCTGTATTGTTACAAACTACAAAAATGTCACTTTATTAAAATTTTCAACATCTAAAGCTGTTGAAGCAAATATGAAAGTCTAATAATTCAATTACAAAGCATGCAAACCCCTATAAAAACAACTAAATTAATTAAGTTTAATTAAGTTTCTTATTTTACAGTGAAGTTAATAAATGTTGGTCAATCAAAACCCAGAATGTTTTCAGAATTCAAATAAAATAAAGTGATTGAGGAAATATGATTGCAATGAATTCAAACACTAAATTACTTCTAACAACCATTTTCGTTCTACTTACAAAAAAGGTATACTAGACAATAATGATAACTATAAAAAATTATGAAATGTCATCTACTAAATGTGTAAATGAAATTGTTAAACTTAAAAATTAGCCACCAAATCACCAATTCACAAAGACAAAATAGTTACCTATTGCAATGTAAGTCTATGCCTGGCCTTTTTGGTTAACTGATGGCACCAAAAAGCTGATATCAGTTAATTGATGAGAGGAAAGGTTTGCATTATGCTCTTTGTCCTCTCTAAAGTAACCCAAAATCTTCTCTGTGTTGGATGTTGTTCAGATGCTGCACTTACAGTTCATCGTCTCATTCATCATCAATTATGCTACCCTTCTTTTATCTCAGCTTTTTTTCCCCTTAGCTGTCCTCTTTTCCTCCGCCACAGGCTTTACCGCTCTCTCCTCATTTCTTCAATGCTTGCTTTGAGGCCTCTCTCCCTTCCTTTGCTTCATTTTGCCTCTCTCCATTTCTCCAGAACACAGCTGGACATGTGGATGAACACATGGAAGAGACCCTGAGGGGTAGAGCGCAGTGTCAGTGTGCTGATGACCCCTGCTCTGCTCAACACAAACACATTACACAGCACAACAATGAGAGTCATTTGGCCACTCTCAACAACCCGTGCTTCATGATGACAAAAATTAACGACACAATGGTTTAATTTAGCACGTACTGTTTTCGCCCAATGAGAAATGCCACATCTCCAGTGATTCATCCTAAGGCGACAGTAACATAAAAGAGCTGTGATGCAAAGTTTTAAAATTGGCTAGAAAAGTACAAGAGATGTGACAGTTGTGAAACAATAGAGGGTTTTTTAAGTTGAGGTAAAGATTAGAGAAGGGAGTTTAGTACAGTGCATTAATGCTCATCGATCAAGTACTTGTGGGAAAAATTGTCTTCGTCTGCTTCAGTGGAGTGTGGAGGATCATTGTACCGATAAATGAGCTAAAATAGCTTCATTATTAATCATGCAAATAAAATCAGTATTATTATTATTTGGTTGTTGTTAAATTTTTAGTCACAAGCTATTTGTATAACACGCAAATGGAGACTCAGTAGTTTGAGGACAAAAAGCTGGCAAATGTCTTTAATTACAACATCTGAACCATGTCTTTTGGTGAGGTAACCATAATCTGTTTTAATAATATAAAATATATTTAATATTTATTAATATACACTTACCGGCCACTTTATTAGGTACCCCTTACTAGTACCAGGTTGGATCCTTTTAAGAACTGGCTTAATCCTTTGTGGCATATATTCAAAATGGTTCTGGAAATATTCCTCAGGGATTTTGATCCATATTGGCATGATAGCATCCCAAAGATGCTCTATTTGATTGAGATCTGGTGACTGTGGAGGCCATTTGAGTACAGTAAACTCATTGACATGTTCAAAAAACCAGTCTGAGATTATTCATGCTTTATGACATGGTGCGTTATCCTGCTGGAAGCCGCCATGAAAAGATGGGTACATTGTGGTCATAAAGAGATAGACATGGCCAGCAACAATACTCAGGTTGGCTGTGGTGTTGACACGATACTCATTGGGTACTAATGGGCCGATTGTGTGCCAAGAAAATATCCCTCACACCATTAAACGACCTCCAGCAGCCTGAACCGTTAGTACAAGGCAGCATGGATCCATGCTTTCATATTGTTGATGCCAAATTCTGACCCTACCATCCTACCAGCAGAAATCGAGACTAATCAGACCAGGCAATGTTTTTCCAATCTTCCATTGTCCAATTTTGATGAG